GCCGGCGCGCGGCCTACTCACTGCCGGTACTGCACGAACATGCAGAGCTTCAGCACGATAGCCAGCACGTTCTTGCCCATGAAGATGCCCGAGACCCGGGCGTCCCTGAAGAAGACCATGTTGCCCCCCCGGATGAAGATGGTGACGATGTTGACAGTGAGCAGGCTCAGCATGGGGTAGAGCATCATCCGGTGCGGCACGATGCTGAACCCTTGCATGCTGATCTCGCACAGGGACACGCAAGGGAGAGTCAAGAGCAAAATGTAGCAGTAGAAGAACATCAGGCCCTCGGCCCAGAGGGGCAGCCCTTTCTTCTGGGGCTCCCACAGGTTGGCCTGGATGTCCAGCACGTCCAGCATGTCAATGATGACCCAGAAGAGGCGGTTGCGGAGATCCTCCTTCTTCTTGAAGGTCCGGACGTAGTCCATGTGCTCGGTGGCCACCAGCAGCACGTAGAGGGCGGGGATGCAGACGGACAGTAGCAGGGTCAGGCCTTTGCGTGCCAGGAGGTCCAGGCTCTTCCGGTCGGCCTTGTAGTTCTGGTAGACGAAGTAGACCTTGATCTCCAGCACGAAGACGTAGAGGAACCAGAGGATCATGGCGTAGCCGCGCTTGGCCGTCCTCACCTCGGCCCCGACCCAGACCGCCATGTACCGGAGCACCAGCAGGAAGCAGACGTCGCCCACGGACACCATGATGCAGATGCCCAGCTTCCTGGAGCCCTGGTTCTGCTCCACCAGATAGGCGTCCATCAGCACCAGGCTGCTCATGATGAGGACGGTGGAGAGGCAGACGTGGGGCTTGTTGACGGGCGCTGGGGGAACCATCCTGGAAGGAGGAACGTATGGTCAGTCAGGCAGCTCCGTTGCTGCAGGGGCCTGTCTGCTCTGGGGGCTGGTCAGACCTCCCCCCGCCTTGGCGGGCACCTCGTTCCTCCCTGCCCCCTCTCTCCCAGTCAGCGGTGGGCAGCAGGGGCAAGATAATGGAGCAGGTAATTAAGGAAATCGTATGCAAACACTTGGAAAGTAATAAAGTGATAGGGAATAGCCAGCATGGGTTTGTGAAGAACAAGTCATGCCAAACTAATCTGATAGCTTTCTTTGAAAAGATAACGAGCCTTGTGGATAAGGGAGAAGCGGTGGATGTCATATACCTAGACTTTAGTAAGGCATTTGATACGGTCTCGCATGATATTCTTATTGATAAACTAGGCAAATATAACTTAGATAGGGCCACAATAAGATGGGTGCATAATTGGCTGGATAACCATAGTCAGAGAGTTGTTGTTAACCTCTAAAAATTTGAAATGTAGGTCAGACCCCTTTGGAAATCTTAGATGTACTCTGTGGACCCCCATGTTGTCCACAGATCACAGTTGAAAAATCACTGTTCTATGGCAACAATGACCTTTTACAGACCCTCATGGACATAGTCTGTGGACGACATGGGTCCACAGGCCTGAAATTGAAAAACACTGGCCTGCACCATTAATGACCCAAGGGAGCCTTATTCTTGAACCTCATTGAAATTTCTTTACATAGTTAAAGAATCTATACTATAAATATTACTGCATCAGAAATAATTTCTGGTAAGTCTTTAAAGTCATTGAGCCAAATTGACTTTAGATACTTGCACACAGCACACTGAATTCAGTGAGAGTTGTACTTGTTAATGTGAAAGCAGGATTTGGACTTTCCTCTTGCGGTATCTATGAGACAATGTATGTGTGCCTGTATCTATAGTGTAGACGCTAAATTCCTTGTATCTTTGTAAAGTAGCCACACTATAAAGCCCTGTATAGACAAAGTGAAAACTGTAGTAGGATACTATGAAGCAACTCCATGGAATATTTGCAATTTCGTAAAAGAAAGGATTTAATGTTCTCCCTTCATTGCTGTACTTTGTAAATTAAATAATCTGGTAATATAAAAATGTATATAGGTACTAGTTCTAGTTATATCTGAGACTAAAAAGCCATTGAAAGTTGTGTTGTGAATGTAATACTATAACCATTTTGAAAGTCTCAGAGAGGTAGCCATGTTAATCTGTAACAGCGCGCTGCTCCCTGCTCCGCCAGACGGCCCACGGGGCCAGGTCTCGGAGCTTCAGTGCCCAGCTTGCCTTGGGGCCAAGTGCTCCAGCGGGTCCGACGGAGCCACCGACTCTCCAAATGCGCGTTGGGAGGCCTTGAGCTGGGCCCAGAAGCGCTCGCGCCGCGTGGTTCTTGGCGATCTTCATTACCCTGGCGAGGGGCCAGCGGGTGAGTCTGATCGACCCCCGGCCTCCTGCCCTTCAGGGGCTCAGCTGGGTGAGAAGGGGGATGCTGCTCTCTGCTCCCGCTTGGGTCCTGCATTGAGGCTCCCCCAGCTGGTGGTGCAACATTCCCCTAGGGCCAGACAGATGCTGAGGTCCCACTAGGCAGCAATGAGACTGAACCCAGCCATACCCCCGGACAGCCCCCCGGCAGTTCAAGGGCTACAGCAGAATGGGGCCTGCCGGGGGGGAAGGAGGGTCGGGTGTGAGAGGCCCTCTTCAGCCCCATCCTCACCTCACAGGGGGAGCTGCAGACCCATGGGGCTGGCTGGGCTCAGCTCGCTGTGCTGGCATTGCAACACTGCCCCTGGCACATGGGGCTCACCGTCAGGTCAAAGCAGGAAGGGGCACAGGACTGTTTAGTGCATCTGGCATGTAAGTACCTCGCAGGGCTGGCTGCAATAGTACCAAGCGAACACCTGTTCTCACTATCAAGTGACACTAAATAAGAAGCAGGCAGCATTATCTCCCATAACTATAAACAAACTTGCTTGTCTGAGCAATTGGCTGAACAAGACATAGGACTGAGTAGACTTGTAGGCGCTTAAGTTTGACGTGATTTTTGAGTGCAGTTATGTAAAAATTAACAATCCTACCTTTGTAAGTTGCACTTTCACGATAAAGAGATTGCACTCCAGTGCTACTACTACTTTTATCTTGGTAAGTTATCAATGGTTAATTAGCCTCCTGGTTAAAAATGTAATCTTATTTCCAGACTGAAATTGCCTAGTTTCCATTGTGTTGTGTCAGAGCTTTGTCCGCGCTAACGAGCCCTTTGACAATTTTTTGTTCAGGTAGGGACTGTGATCAAGAAATAACAAACTTTTTCAATGTCTCTCTCTGTGAACTTTGGAGATGATGCAAAACTCTGAGCAGAAGCTCTGTGACACCCGTAGCACCCATGCAGCTGTCACTGCTCCAGGGTTCTGTGCCCCCACTGACCTTCATGGGGCCACCTTACTTGGTTCTGAGGCCTTGAATTCGCTAGTCTTTAGCATGCATGAATGGGCAGGGGTGAGGTCCTGTCATTTGATAACTGTCTTGTGGCGTCACTTTGCCTAGTTCTGTCCAAGGGCTGCAATTTGCGAGATCCCTCCTTTGCCCCGAGCTCTCGCCCTGCGCACAGAGAATCCTACAGCAACTCAAACAGCTGGGGCACCAGCCCTCACGCGTAGGATGCTGGGATCTGAGCCCTGGGTTTCACCTCCATGCTTTCGATTCTTCCACTGCCGGGCAGGGAAGTCTGCCAGATGCGCTCCCCTCCTCCTCCAGCTGTGCAGCGTAGGATGCAACCCCGCACCCCTTCCCCTGTTCCATCTCTCTGGTCTGGGCACAGCACTGATGCAGCTGCGGCAGCTTGCGGCGTGGGGAAAAGAGGAGGAGCAGAGCCAGGATCCCACCAGCTGCTGCTTCGCAGCTGCTATGGAGAGAATCCAGCGCCCGAGCCGAGGCAGGAGGAGGAGGGGAACGTGTCTGATCCAGTGGAGGCACCAAAGTCCCCTGCTAACTGAGATGGCTGGCGAGAGGTCTGGAGCAGTCTGAGGCTCTGGGATGCTGTTCCACTCTGCCCTGGCCGAGGTCTCTGCTGGGCCCTAAGGTCCCAAGTTAAACTGTGCACAGAGACGAACCGCAGGTGATCGTGCAGCATAAGGCTGGGGCATAATGCCTGTGTCCCAGGGGCAGAGGTAAGTGAACATCCTCCAGGGCAGGGGCAGGGATCCGGCAGGGACCCCTGGCCTCGGTCCAGGCTCATTCACCTGTGATGGGGAAGGGAGGGTGAGCCGCTGGTGACACTGAATGGGGAGCTGCGATCGCCGGCGGAGGCAGCACAAGCCATGGCGAGGGGCCCAGCAAGAGGATACCGTGGGCAGAAAAGACCAAACTGGGAGGTAGCTGAGAGGGATGCAGCTGGGGAGCGCAAGCTAAGCCTCCTCCCCCGCCCCCGGCCGCGAGAGGGGCCAATCTAGGAGCCGAAGCCTGGGCCTACGCTACCCTTTCCCTTCATTCCCTCCGCTGGGGGCAGCCCCCATGGCCTCCCGCATGGGGCCACGGGCCACGCAGACTTGCTCCCAGCCGAGCTCCACAAGAGCCAGCTCAACACCAGCATCTGTCACCGTCACGTGGCCCCTGCAGGAGCTGACTGGCGCAGCAACGGGGGGTGTCAGGCAAAGGCAGAGCCCCGGGGGGGGGCAGCAGAGCAGCCCAGGGACCAGCCGGCCACGCAACGTGGTAGCCAAAACGGGCAACGTGACCGAGGGCAGCAAACCCAGGGAAGCCCCTCGCCAAGACAGACACAGCCAGGCCGGGCCCAGCACCTTCCACTGTGGGCCCCGAGTGCCACAGGAACACGGACAACCGGAGCGAACTCAGGAAGAGCCACAGCGTGATCAGGGACTAAACGGTTCAGCCCAGGGTGGCCACGCAACGTGGTAGCCAAAACGGGCAACGTGACCGAGGGCAGCAAACCCAGGGAAGCCCCTCGCCAAGACAGACACAGCCAGGCCGGGCCCAGCACCTTCCACTGTGGGCCCCGAGTGCCACAGGAACACGGACAACCGGAGCGAACTCAGGAAGAGCCACAGCGTGATCAGGGACTAAACGGTTCAGCCCAGGGTGGACAGGAGGTGGCTGTGAACGGAGGGGAGAGAGTCAGCCTGAATCCCTGCCACAGGGAGGTTTCCTCTGGGGGAACGGACTTCCCAGGGCCAGGAACCTCCCAAACCTGCCTGCCCGAGCCCGGGAGGATGGACCACAGGGCCAGGCCCGCACCCCCCTACCTCAGTTTCTCTCTCCTCTGCCCGTGGCCACAGCTCGCCTCCGCCACACCCAGACCCAGCGGGTCGACCGGTTCTCACGCCCCAGCTCCTGGGCACCAGCCCGGCCAGCCCATGGGCCTGCCCTGCTGGGTCAGACTCGCCAGGACACAAGCTGCAGGGCCATGGCAGACACTGGCCATCTCGCTAGCTGCCCTAGCCCCAGGGCTGCCCTCTGCCCAGCGGGGCCAAGGCTTCCTGCAGCCCCTCCCC